AGGTGGCAAGCAAAGATAAAGGGTTTGCGGTAGCACCCTGGAAAAGTAGTTGGCAGAAGCCTAACGGCGGACAGAACTACTGTTCGAAACGCTGGCTACTTCCCTCCGGTCCTTATCAGAACCACACTTGCGGTTGATAAGTTAATGAGAGGTCATCTGTCTGTTTGCCAACAAAACAGAGGACTTTTTTGCATTCCTTTTTTAATTTGATCAACAAATCTTCTGCACAAACCTGATAGCATAATTATTTCATCATTACCATACGGGTCAAAGGTTTCAACCCAATCAGGCAAGTACTTCAGGAGAAATAGGGCCTTCAGGAAATAACGCGCTTTATAATGTGTGTCTATATGGTTGACCTGGGGTAGAGGAGACCCGTCGGTCGGGGTGGGGTGTAGGTGCTTGGATCTTGACTTGCCTTGAGACTGCTTGACTTGGAGTCTAGCAGTCTCCTGACGACGGACAGAGTATACTGTTCCGAAACGTTGAGTAAAACCGGTTCTTCTCAGAACCACACTTACTCATAAAAGAGAATATTGTTCATGGTGTAACCGCAAAAATCCTGAACTAAAAGTTAAGCATGCTTCAACCTTGCCGACTGTGTGCATTGAATCGCTGAGTAGGCCAATACAAACACACATGCTGGCATGACGGGCGTACAACGATGTTTTTTTTCGCTTGGTACCACTCATTTGGTCCATTTTCTCCTTATTATTAGAAATACATTCCCAATCGCCAACAAAATAGATGACCATCAACAAATTACATCAAACTAGAGTATCAGTTTGGCTTTAAGTGGAAACATTGCCACCTGAAAAAAAATTGGCGAAAATTTTCAGAGTTTAGGGCGTCATTTTGTATAATTTTTTGGGTGGAATTAAGTCGCGTTGCGTCTCTTCCGCGACTGTGTGCGTCTTGACGTGTTGCGAACCGTCTGCGTATTAAACAAACGACCATATGGAAACCAGGCATTACTTTGATGACGATTGAAGATCGCAAAGTAACCAAAATTGTGCCTTGAAAACGTGTACAAATTCAATGGGCTAAAATAAATATGTAAAAATCAATAATAAATCACTTGATGACGTCATCATGACATCGTATTCTTAGGACCATCTATGCCTAAGGGTTTTTCATTGGTACAAGTTTGATGAAGATCCAAAAGCACTAAAGTAGCAAATAAACATTGATCAATCGTTATTTCGTGAACCAAACGTTTCCTTTTATGAAATATTCTGTATACACTAGTCACAAAGAAAGAAAAAAAAAGAATTAGAAGATTTCACTTTTAACTGATAACTTTTCACGAATCTCACAAATGCTTGTCAATTCACGGAATTGAACGCCAAAATACATACCGTGGAGTGTCAACGCGAATTTGAATGCTTTTTGCTTGTTTTTCCATATTGAATGTTGACCTTTCACGTTTTGAATAACAAGACTGGGCAATAGCATGCTCTTAGGATGAACTTGAATGAGGTTTGAATGGCAATCTAGATCTTTAATCTATTTCAGGCTAATTTGAATGAAACTGTCGCTTATTCGTGTGCGAAGATGATAAATTTGGCGGGGGGAAACCAACATCATTTTGGTTTATTTCACATTCCCATCGCAGCCCAAAGGATGAATTGGTTAACACAATAAAAGTGTAGATTACAATTACAGTTTAAAGCATTAAGAAAAAAATAAAAGAATATAAAATTACTAAAATGTCACCAGTTTAACTTTTGACTTAATGAACGTTTACAAAAAGAGGAAGAAAATTACACAAATGAATTTTAAATTAGTGTATAAACGTGTATAATTAACAGTTAAAGCACAGGCGCATTACAATGAGTCTTAACAATTAACAGTTCTCATTCAGTAAATTAGTTAAATGGACCTCGCCAGTGGAAGCCAATATTGTATCAGATGTTCGAAATCAATAAAAAAGGAATGAGCACAACTCAACAAACAGAATAAAAGGAACGTAAAACCTAGTCTGGTAGGTGAACTAAACTCAACCAACTTTAATCATTTACACTTGTCCTTTTATACACTTGGGCTGGCCGCCAGCGCAGACCGATACATGTAAAGTAGTGCCAAATTAACATAACAATGGATATCACTTCTTCCCTCCACGTGTTAAAGATGATTCGTATTATTTTCAAATTAAATCTTTCATTCAGTCCATTAAAATATATAATTCTTATCTGGATATCCCACAAATTATTAATTTACTTCTGGTGACTATTTGCAACATATAGTTTAAAGGCTTACAGCTGGAGGTTAAACCTAATTTCCTTTTGATCTGTGAATCAGTAATGTAACTAACTTAAATATCTTGTTTCATACATATTGAATAATTAGGGACTGTGATTTTGTCAAACCCGTGTCACATTTATCAAAAAATAATAAATAACAATTATTTTTACCTTCTGATCTTGTAGAATAAGAACTGCAAATTTTTCATTTCTTTAATACATAACATAATCTTGCATCCAATTTGGCTTCCGTTTTACCCTTTCAATGCGTCTAAACTGATGATTTTTCCCTGCTGGTTTGGAGTTTGTACGCCAACTGGTAGTTTGTACGGGAGACTGTTCATTTTCTTCTGTATCACAATACAGTGAGAACCATTCGTTTCTGGTTGTGAGGTCTTGATAAATTTGCTTACATTCCATGTCTGATTGTCACTTGTTATGTAAGTGCGGAAGCTAATTCTCTTGACTATATGAATAGGATCTGAATATTTCCTGTCTCCTTTCATAACATTTCCAGGTCTTTTTTCTCTTACCCAGTCTCCAACCTGGAAATCAGTTATTTAGACTTTTTTGTCAGCATATTTTGTGTACTGAGATGTTTGAATCTTACTCTTTCGATGGATTTAGTTTCAACTTCATGAAACTTAGGAACAGGCATTCTCAACCCTAAAATGTTCAACTTTGTTCGCATGTGTCTACCGTGTAACAGAATACAAGGGGCAATTACAGTTGTGGCATGTGGTGTTGCCCTGTATACAGTTAAATATTCATACACAGTGGGTTTCGATGGATTTTTTTTTCTATTGATTGCATTCTTGATAGCATTCTTCAGAACTCCGTTAAACCTTTCAACAGCCCCATTGCTTTGTGGGTAGCACAATGATGCATAGCCATGTCTAATACCTCTTTCTTCTAAAAAAAATATTGAATTCGGTAGAGGTGAACTGTACACCATTGTCACTGATTATTTCATCTGGAAATCCTTCTCGGCTGAAAACAGTTTTCAGAAAGGTATCCCGTTTTGGTCTTTTCATTTGATGCAAAACATACATGTACTTCTGGCCACTTGCTATACGAGTTTTATGGCGTACCTACACTCTACAGGTCCTCTTTCAAAAGGTCCTACAATATCAGTTCCAATTTTACACCAGGCACTATCCGGAAAGGGAACTGGTTTCATTGGAGCGGCTGCTTGTTTCACACTCATGTCATTAAATTGGCAAGTTACACAAGATTTAACAATGTTTTCAACTTATTTATCCATGCATGACCACCAATATAATTCTCGTAACCATTGTTTTGTACGTGTCGACCTTGGTGGGACTCATGAGCGAGTTTCAGAAGTGAACCTCTCAACTCTTCAGGAACTACAATTCTATCATTTCTTGTCATCACGTCATCACAAACAGTCACGTCATCTTTGATAATGTAGTATTGGTTTCAACATGACATCATTTCAGGATCTAGAGGACGCAACTTGTCAGGCCAACCAGTTTGAATGCAATTCTTCACATTATTCAACATCGGATCCTCTTTCGTACAATTCTGTAGTTTTTCATTTGTGATACTCTTACAAATAGTCTCTAGTGCAATTTGACAAATATCAGTATCATCTTAATCAAATTCATGTACTTGAGCGGGAACAGGTAGTCTAGACAGTGCGTCTGCTATTTTGTTTTCCTCACCTTGAATTTAAGGTCATTGTACTTCATGAGTCTTGCTGACCAACGAGCGATACGCATTGATTGGCGATCTGAACCTTTCTTTAGGTGAATGATCAAAGCCTGATGGTCAGAACACAAAGTGAATTTCCTACCCCAAAGGTAAGTGTTGAATTTCTCGCTTGCCCTCACACAAGCTAATGCTTCTCATTCACCAACAGAATAATTTCTCGCTGCGGCTGATAATTTACGACTGTCACATTCAACTGTGACTTCTTTACCATTTTCAGTTGTGTGAGTACTGCAACTAAGCCATATGCTGATGCATCTGTTGTTAGAATGATACTTGCATCTGGATCAAACATGGAAAGTGTGGGACTGCCCGCAATTGTGTTTTTCAACACCTCAAAGCTTTTTTGAGCTTCTTCATTCCCAACAAATTTTTGATCATTACGCAATAGTGTTCTCCAAGGTTCTACCAAAGTGGCAAATTGAGGAATGTACTTTGAGAAATACCCTGCCAAGCCCAGAAATGACCTGAGACTTTTCTTTTCATGGGGCACTGGAGCCTTTGTGATTGCTTGGTATTTGTCATCAACCCGAATACCACTTTAACTCACAGTATGGCCCAAAAATCTTAAGGCCAATCATGAGAACAAACATTTGTCCAATGTTCAGTTTAACCTCATGCTTTTCAAGTCTTTCAAGAACTGCTTGCAAGTTTGCGTCATGCTCGGCTTGATCTTTACCATAGATGATTAAATCGTCTAAGTAACTCTGTACACCCTTCAATCCACTTACTATAGTGCTCATCATGTTGTTGGAATGCTGAAGGTGTGGATGACAAGCCAAAACATACCCTTTTATACTGGAACAGGCTTTAATTTGTGATAAATGCAGTCAAACTTCTAGAATCTTTATGTAGTAGAAGTTGGTGGTATGCAGATTACAAGTCTTACTGACTGAATACCGATGCGTTTCTCAACTCGCTGAAGATTTCATCAGTCTGTGGGAGTGGGGACTTATCAGGTATTATTGCCTCATTTACTCGTCTAAGGTCAACACAGAGTCTTAGTTTACCATTTTGTTCCATGAGACTACAATCAGCGATACCCATTCAGCGGAGTCAATTTTCTCAATGGTGCCTTGTTCTTCAAGTTTTTCAACTCTTCTGAAACCTTATCTCTTACGCTAAATGGTAATCTACGTAATTTCTGACTCACAGGTTGCACTTTCTCATTTACTTTGATTCAATTCCTGCTACTTGTTTCTATTCATGCTCAGTAGTAAACAGACTTTTGAATTTGTGTGCATGCTTTTTTTTTCTCGGGGTTGATATTGTTACATGTCGAAGTGGAAGCTTCGATATTGATATGCGAAGCTTGTACAAGATCTCTGCCAGAAATATCGGTACCAGAATATTCAATATACAAGTTTGCAATGGCAGTATTTTCTTTGTATGTCACAATAACTTCAAAATACCCGACAACTTGTCAAAGGTGTTCTTGGAAAGGATACTCACTCCAGATCCTGATGTTTACCTTGCAGTGTAAAGAGTTCGCTTTAACTCCCGGTACGTCTGTAGCTAGGACGTGAATGTCATTATCTAGTCTCTGGTGATGAATCTACGTAGTCGTCATGGGCTTGAAAAACTCCAGTTTTCTTTCGGCGGAGATTGCTGAATTCAGCTTGTTGTCGGGTGTTACCACCGGCCTGCTTTGTCTGTATACCGGTACGCTGCTGAAGTGACCAACCTCATGGAATGAATGGCATTCTTGCTCCATGGCGGGACACACCCATTCCGCAAAATGCATTTGTGAATCGCAGCGGTAACAAAATGTCCGTTTGATGAAGGCGTGGTTTGCTGCTTACGGGGGTTTCCTGACTTCAATTTTGTTGTTTTTTAATAACTTTTCGTGACTTTGTGAATATTCTGCGTTTGGAACATTTTAGTTCCTAAGTGTTTTAGCTTCCTGAATAGCTTTCCCAAAACGACGTGCCATGTCCACGGTCTTTTGAAGAGTCAGTTTTTTCCGTAGCCTCTCTCGAATTTTTGGACTGCTCGTTTTCTCCACAACTTGGTCTCGTATCATTTCCTCGTTCATGGGCCCAAAATCGCATGTTTTCGAAAGTTTCCGGAGAGCAGACGAAAAATTGTTTATAGACTCACCAGCTCTTTGTCGGAATGTGTAGCGTTCAGCTACAACATTTACATTTGGCAGAAAATGTTCGTTTAATACTTGGACAGTGTGCTAGTATACATCTGTGTGGGGAGTGTCTCCACTTCGGGGTAAAACGTTGTGTAGACCCTCTGACCCTCTACACCGAGGCAGTGAAAGAGAATTGTTCGTCTCCTCTCTGGCGAAAATTCGTCTCCACCTATAGCAAGCAGTTTTGGAAGTTCGCTCTTTTCCTTCCAAAGAACAGCCGGTTCTCCCGCTTCTTGTAGAAACGGGGAGGGTTCAGTTAGGGAGCTTGCAGTCGCCGTGGGTGTGGTCATCAACCTCATCGCCAAATATTGTATCGGGTGTTCGAACTCAATAGAAAGGAATGAAGGAATGAGCACAGTTCTGCACGGAATGAAAGGAACGCAGAAACCTAGTCTGATGGGGGAACTAAACTCAACAAAATTTAATGTTGTTGTTGTTGTTGTTGTTTTGTTTTAATGGCACTTTCAGCTACTCAGGCTATTTGCGCCAATGTCTATACGTTTATTCGTAACCTTTATTAGCTTTGCATTACGGAGTTAGGAAAAAGGTCTAGTTTTAGAAGCAGGAGGAAACCGGAGTACCTAGAGGAAACCTGCGAGAGCGAATATGGACAAGAAACCAAATGCACTTAAAGCCTGGGCCAAGCTGGGACTCAAACCGTGGCCTCATTGGTGCAAAGCGAGGAAAAAACAGCTACGCTAACCCGCTCCCCCCCCCCACAAATTTCATTCATTTACACTTCTCCTTTTATACACTTGGGCTGGCCGCCAGCGCGGACCGATATATGCAAAGTAGTGCCAAATTAACATAGCAATGGCATTACAGCCAGTCACGATAAGAGCCAAGACGATTTTGCTAAATTTCAAACAAAGCTGGTCACGCCTTTCCTTAAGCGGGTGTAGCTGCACCTCTTACACATATGATGATATGGTGTTCGGCTAGAAATACCAATTGATAAGATTGTATGAAAAACTCTTTCTTGCAGTTCCTCTGGAGATTCGTCAATTTAGAGTGCCAAACCGGGCATACATATTCAACGGTTGGTCTCACGTACTGCAGATTTACTGTAAAAGATCTTCAACTGGGATGCCACACCGTTTTAAGTGACCATCGTAGAAAATAAGGTCTACGATTAAAAAAATTACACGTCGTAGTTACTTGATTGTCCCATCTGCGGTTGTTCGAATGCTTATACCAAGTATTTTCAGACAGTTCAGTTGAGAAACAGCTGTAGCTCCAATATTAAACTCTGCACTCTGAACTCTGTTCGTTTTTAAAACAGACGGTCATCACCTGACATTTGGGGGGATTTAATTTCATCTTGTTAATTCTACCCCCATTATTTAATTGATCAAGTTCTTTATGGATTAAGCTAATTTAGTTAACGTCACTAAATGACAAGGTTATATTTGTAATGGGTAACTTCGGTAATGTTAGATCCAGTGTCATTGATCATGGCGAAAAGAGCAACAGCTCCCAGTTTGGTACCTTGTGGGATGCCCGAACGAGTAGCACGCCAAACATAGGCTTATTCTTTGGGGGAGAACATCGATTGACGGTGCTATACTGTCATATAATACGATGCAAAATATTTCTTTTATTAATTCTATTTCAAAAACAAAGATATTTGCCCTTTTGCCAGTAGGGTTGTGTATTTGCAAATATTGTACATTTACCAAGTGTATGAATCATTCCCTTTCCTCGTCATTATAAATTTAAATCGGGATCAGCACAATACCGTGTTTTCTGATTTCATTTTAAACACACCAGTTCCCTATTATGGTTCTGAGGTTTATGTCTTAGAAGTAAGTTCGAAACTACAAAGCCTGTACAAGGCAGGTGCCCACCATTCAACCTTAGTAGCAACTTATACTTTAAAAGTTATAATTTTACACACAAAAAAGAAAACTTTTGTTCTCTTCAGGACTGACGTCCAGTTGGTCTGATCCATCAAAGATTCAGCATAGGATTATTGCTGATGTTCCGGAGAACCGATATTTTGATATTGAGGTAATTATAGCTAGAAATATTATCACGTTTCTTGAACAAACAAAATTATTGAGAATCCTCAAGGTCACCACCACTGTCATCGTTGCCTGTCACATAATATAAATAGTCACAATTGACGCAACTGCGATCAATGTGTATTATCAAATCCTTTAACCTATGGAGATCCATACTTCTGACAATTGCCACGACAACGTAACATTAACAGACGTATAATAATCCTACGCAGTGGTGTATCCAGCGGGGAGCAACTTTTTTTTAAACAAAGAATGTTTCACTGGTGAGTAAGAAAGAAAGTAATCAGTACATTTAGTTAAATATTAGCACCAAATTGCTAAGAAAACAACACCACATTCTTTTCTCCCATTGGCATGATGTTGAATGAGCCGCATTACATTTTGTATTCCCCCTACACCAAAAACTGGATACGCCACTGATCCTACGACATAAAAACATAAAGCGTTAAGATTTTAAGAACTGTTGAAAACGTAGTCTGAAAATACTAACATACATAACTTTTGTCACATAAATAGCTTGTTGATCTTAACATGGACGGTTCCCTGGACTTGCTACTTTCAATAAACAGGTAAACGTACTCCTCTCCAATATTTCAGAAATTGCATACCGTAAGATCTCATAAGAAATTTCAACATTTTTCCTGGCTGATTTTTCTCTTTTTTGCAACCGCATTAGTGAGACCGATGGAAAACTTGTTGCTTATGAGATCCCGCGGGATTTTCGCACTGGTGTCTGGAGACCCCATGTGATCGCTGAGGGATTCAAACCGAGTAACCTCATTGTTCTGGAGGGCAACGGCTCACCGGGGAGTGCGCACGCCTTCTATCCAGGGCCACCTGGTGATAGGTCAGTTGATTTTTCAATTTGGACGATTTCTTTGGAAAAGAAATTGGATTTGCAATGCCTTCGTCCCAACTGCACTGAAACCACCGGCCGCCATTTTACCGTGCCGAATACAAGGGCGATGGTTGGCTCATTTGCCATTTAATTGTAACTATTGATGTCAGGAACAAATTTGGTTAACAATGGGAAGAAAACTTTCGCAATACCGGGAAAACCTTTGCATTCGGCATGGTTACATTGCTGCCAATGGCTTCAATGACCATTGTGTATTTAAAAGCAGTTTATGGGTACAGTTTTTTTGTATGACGTCTGCGATTTTTAATGTCAAGAATTTATTCTGCAAATTACAGTGATGTTACATCACTCTCCTCACAATGTATTTCTCTTTATCTTGCCAGGGTCCAGCTGTAGTCTATCCGTGACTTTATATCCACGTCTGTCACAATATCACTATGATTATTTCGTTTATAACATAAAAATACTTTATACACAGATATTTGTATACAAATATTTTACGTTCACCGCCACCGCCCCTCATGAAATAGGGAGCCGTAATTTGCTTCTCCATAAATTCGAACTCTGCGAATATTTCTTATTTCCATTTCTCTGATAGGATAAAACCCCTCATCCTTCTAACTGGAGATGATGATAGCAACGTGTACGTCTTTGAAAGCACCGCCGACAATGACCCATCTGTGTGGAGTTACACTAAGACCTCAATCTTCTATGCTAAAGGGACTGTAGGCGGTCCCGCGATCAAAGATATTGACGGAGACGGATACGCTGAAATCTTCATACCAGCATGGTCCGAAGGAACACTTAACGTGTACACGTTCAAGCCATAAAACCTTGATGAAGTTTGAACATTATATCACCCACACCAATTGCGTCACATGCTCCTTTTCTGACATATTCAAACAAAATTACTAGAATTCAATCGCCTTTGAAATTTTTTTAATTGAAATATTGCGATATTCTTATAAACAGATATATAATGTTGTGGGATTCGGTTCGTCGCAATTTAGTTTTGGTATCGTTTTGTTTTGTTTTTTACAACAGACAACTGATACATTGCGAGCAAGTATACGAGTATTAAGTATATGTGTGTTGAGCCAAATTTAGCCAAAATTTAGTATTTAATAAGGTATTACTTATTGATAAACTTAATAAGTAAGGTGGAAATCGCTACTATTTAGCCACCAACTTTACACAGAGACAGTTGGTTGGATGCCAGGTAAAGTACCGAGGTCGTATTGATGTCCCATGGTTAAAAATAAAGACTAAACGAAGGAAATAATATGCCTCAAGAATATACAGCAGTTTCCATCTCATGGTTATCGAATGTCCGTAAAATGGCCTCACTTTCAGAACAGAATTTCACAGGGCATATTTTTCAAAGGGGTACCAAAACCACATGAACTACAACTTGTACACAGGTTTGTGGTACATTTCGAAATTTCAGGGGGGACCCACGTGCACAGATTTTCGCCGGGGGCGGGGATGGGGGGACGACTTCCACTAGAGGAGAGTAGGACGGTGCCAAGCTCTACTTGTAAACACCCCTCCCCGGCCGTAGTTACGCCACTGACAAGATCCTCAACATGCAGGTGCTTGCCTGCAACATAAATGGAATTATAAAATGAAGGATAAAGTTACCATACATACACATTCTGTCCCTTATAAAGCCCCTTTTTGTCCCTTGGCTGTCTTACCTTGGTGTTTGCCTATTATAGATCTTTATATTAAATTCCAAACCTCTAGAACAAAATAAGCATGCAGGTGGTACACAATATTTTAGACATGCATATACAGTCATTTGCAAAAGTTTAGGACCACCCATACAAAATACATTAACCTGAAGAAAAATAAACTTAAATCAATCAATCATGACAACTTTAGTATCTTGAATCAGCTATTTGACTACATGATTTGAAATCTTAAGAGTGTAATATTTTGTAAGCCCTCCTTTATTTTTGACTACTTAGACTGGCTTTTTTTAACCATGCTGCCTTACAGACAAAATGTCATACAAGATCTGCCTTTGCAAAAAATTTCATTCGAATGGATATATGGCACTACACTGATGTTATGCACCACTGTAAAACATGTTAAGTAATCATTCAATGAGACAATGTCAGTGTTGTAGTCGAGTCACCAATGTCGAGTCCGAATGTTGAGTCTCAAGCCTCGAGTCTAAGTCCAAGTTTCGAATCACAAACCTCGAGTCCAAGTCACGAGTCATAAACCTCGAGTCCGAGTCACGAGCCACAAATCATGAATCAAGTTGTTCATTCAATTATTCTAAGCGTAACAAACCATGGAAGAACATCCATGATCAAAGTTGTAAGTTCTTTGTGTGCTATCTGTTTTGTTTATGCTGATTAATTACATACATTGCAAAAGCTTAGGTGCTCTTTTTGCCCATGAAAATCATCCACCAAGTAGGCCTGACTTTAAATTGCAGTATCTTCGTTTATTTCTTTATTTTAGAATGAAGTGCTGGGCTAGTTTTAAAGTACATTTAAGATGGGCTCAGGAGAATGCGTGAGCCGAAGATGGGGGAATATAAAACCTTTGTCACGCCCAGCGCAGGCCACGGATTTTTTTATTTACACGGTAGCCTGGCCATTTCGCTGAAAGTGTTCATATTCGCGACGGGTTCTGAAGTCTATGAGGCTAAATATGGACGTCCGTATGGTGTACTATGGCCAGAGTATGGAAGTCCATATCTGTCGTCGTGCGTCGCCCGTCGTGCGTCGCCCGTCGTGTGCTTTGCAGGTGGGATTTGTACCTGCCTTATTAGGAAAAGATCTTTAGAAGTGAATGGAATCATCACATCGTCATTTGTTAAACCCCGGCTTTTGCAGGTCCTATGCAACCCATTTGATGGGCGACGCACGACGGGTGACGCACGACGGGCGACGGCAGATATGGATTTCCATATTTTCGTCGTAAGCGCGCATCATGTTTTAATATGTTGTATTATTCATATTTAAGTGACACTCATTATTCATGAGCGTACCCGGCTTGCGCCCAGATAGTGTGTCTGTTACGCCCCCATCC